TGGCAGCTTTCATGTGGTACCTTTAAGTTCAGAGATTCTTTCCTCAGGCATGTCTGGTCTACCAATAGGCCCATCGAAGGCATTGTTCATTTATGTTGCAGTGTTTTTTATCCCTAGCATTTCTGTTTGGTTCTTTCTTAGAATGTAATCTCTCTGCTTACATTGGCCATCTCTTCTTGTTTGCTGTCTACTTTATTTACTAGAGCCCTTAGCATCTGTGACATATATGTGTGTGTGTGTGTGTGTGTGTGTGTATACATACATATATATATATATATAGTTTTTGTCCATGGTTTTTGACTCATAACTCCCATAAACTCTTGTTATAGTGAACAGAATCTCTCTTACCTTCTCCAGCCTCCTTTCCTCTGCCCAAGGCAAGACTCTAATCTTAGATTGTGGGTCATAAGGCCATCATTCCAGAGGGGAACCTGCCCTCTATCCTGGAGGAAGGAATGCTACACAGAGAGGCCAAGAAGAATCTGAACAGACAGGCCTTGCTGGGTTTAGATCATACCCTTTCTGTACAATCACATTTTGGTATGGTTGTCCATGCTTCTATTCATATCATGCCTATCCAATAAAGTCTGCATTAAAAACCCCAAGAGGACAGGACTGGGGGCTTCTAGTGAGCTGAACACATGGAGGTTGACAGGGAAGGTGAACAAGAATTCATCCATGTGCTGGAAGCTAGGCGCAATAACACACACCTGTAATGCCAGCTACTCAGGAAGCAGAGGTGAGGGAAGGTCGTTGGAGCCCAGGGGTATGAAGCTGCAATGAACTGTGATTGTACTGCTGCACTCCAGCTTGGGCAGCACAGCAAGACCCTGTCTCAAAAAAGTAAACAAATAAATCCACATGCTGTGAGGGTAGTGCAGCCCAGTTCCATGGGGACAGAAGCTCCTGTGCTTGGGACTCTTTCAGACCTCATCCTGTGTATCTCTTTATTTAGCTGTTTATTTCTATCCTTTTAAATATTGTTTATGATTTATGATTTATATTGTTTATGCAAACATAAGCATTTCCTTGAGTTCTGTGAGCTGCTCTAGCAAATTAACCCAAAGAAGTGTCAGGGGAACTCCAACTTGAGGCGGGTCAGTCAGAAGTTCTAGAGACCCAGACTTGTGACTGGTGTCGGAAAGTGGGAGCCCCAGCCTTGGGGATGAAGCCTGTGGGGTCTGATGCTGTCTCCAGGTAGATAGTGTTGGCACTGAATTGGAGGAAACCCAGCTGGTGTTTGCTACAGAATTGATTGCTTGCTTGCTGGTGGGAAGAAAGTTCCACATATTTTGGGGTCACAGAAGTCTTTGTTTTTAATTATTGTGTGGGTATGAGAGAAGAGGAAAAGCTGGACTTTTCCTAAGAGCATCTTAATCATAGTTGTTTTAAATTCCCAGTCTGGTAATTCCCACATGAATAACTCTTCTTAGCTGTCAGAGAAGTGAAGTCACAGGGCAAAACACTGCCCAAAAACACTACTATGTTTAAGTCTGGTTCTGATCTCTGCTCTGGTCTCTTCAAACTGTGTTTTTGCCTTTTGGTACGCCTTGTCATCTTTTGTTGAAAGCTAGACATGATGTGTACTGGGTAAAGGGAATTCCAGTAAGTAGGCCTTTGATGATGTGGGAAAGCATGGGGAGAGGGAAAGCATTCTATAGTCCTGTGATTAGGTCTCAGTCTTTGAGTGAGCTTGTGTCTCTGCTCTGTGAACGTGACAAGTGCTTTTCCATCTCCTACCCGCTCTTAAGTGGGACAGGATGGCTAGAGCAGGCTTGAGTTAGGGCTTTCTCTTTCCCCGGGTAGGACAGGGTCTGACAGAGGGCAAGCCTGGTTAAGAACAGAACACTCTGGCTTACTTCAAATGGTTACTCGCCTCTCCTGCTGGAAGCATAAGAGACGTTTTCTCTGATGCTCACTGTGTGAACCCAGTAGAGCTCTGGGAAGTAAAAGCCACAGCGATATGGGGGTCTTCCTCTGGAGTTCATCAAGTCTCCAGCAATTTGTCATTTAAAGTTCAGGTTTTCTTATCCTGGTGCTGGTTCCTGCAGAGGTTTCTTGTGGATTTCTCGTCAGGTAAATTGTATTTCTGTTTTTGTTTGTTCGTTTTGTTTTGTTTTTGAGTTGGAGTCTCAGTCTGTTGCCCAGACTGGAGTGCACTGGTGTGTGTGATCTTGACTCACAGTAACCTCTGCCTCCCTGGTTCAGGCAATTCTTGAGCCTCAGCTTCCTAAGTAGCTGGAATTACATGTATGTGTCACCATGCCTGGCTAATTTTTGTATTTTTAGTAGAGACAGGGTTTCACTATGTTGGCCAGGCCGGTCTCGAGCTCCTGATCTCAAGTGATCTTACCCACCTCGACCTCCCAAAGTGCTGGTTTTAGATGCATGAACTACTGTACCTGACCTAAATTGTAATTATTTGTATTTACCTGTGTGTCTCTAGCCTTGGGGGCAGTGTTTTGCCTTATGACTTTACTTCTCTGACAGATCTCAGAAGAGTTATTCATTTTTCAGTTTGTTCAATATTTTACTTGTTAAAAAATAGTGGTAACTTCCAAGCTCCTTCTGTGCCAGACCAGAAACCAGAAGTTCTACCACCAGTTTTTATTTAATAGAATCATTACATTGCAAATTTTAAAGAGATTTGAGACACCATCTAGCCCATCGCTGCAGCGTATCTTTGAGGAATGTCTCCCTGTCCCTCCACCCCGCACACAGACACCTCCCTCCGCTCCCTGGCGGTGCTTGCCGGTGGTCTTCCTGATGCTTCCCACATGGGGAGAGTATTCATTCCACTTACATTGCTCGGCTGGTTAGAAGACTCTTAGCTGTGGCCTTGAATGAAAGCAGGTACCAAGAGGAAGATGAGGAAGACACCTTCTAAGAGGATACCTTGCCATGGGCCTTGAAGCAGTGCAGAGAGCCTTTGGCAGTTTTTACAGGATGCGGTGAGGAGGAAGGGAGGGCAAAGGTAAGGGGAGAAAGAGGTAAACCAAAGCATTAGGATTCGGGAATGCAGAGGCGATGTGAGGCCAGTGACATGCAGTGCCTCCGTTCCAAGGTTTGGGGATCATATTTCAGCTGGAGAAATATGATCCAGGGGGTCTTTGATCAGGCCTCACTCCTGTCAGGAATCTGCTAACCATACTCTCTTTCTCTATTTCAGAATTACACACCAAGAAGTAGAAATCTTTAGAAACCATCATTTATCCAGATGGGGTCATTAAGAGCCAGAGCCGGGGAGGGACAGATTCTCAGGGTGAATCAGGGGCAGAGCTCGCTTCCTCCCTCCCAGCTCTAGCTCCTTTGGTTACTTGGAGCCAAACAAGGCAAAAATTCCTTTCCTGATGAGTGAGGAGATGATGAGGGCAGAGGCGAGGCTTATGTCTCCACCTCAGGTCTTCCCCGTAAGGGGAATGCCAGACTAGCCAGTGGCGACTCGGTAGCAACTGTTTTCTTGGAAACTCAATAGAGACAATGCTGAGGATGACAACACTCAAGGAAGGCAGGTAAAGGAAAAAAGACAGAGCTGGGGACAATGGGGATCCTGATGAGAGGGCTTGGGGTGGGGCAAAGAGCAAAGCACGTCCCTGAGCAGCATGTCCTGTCTGGCCTCGCTTCTGCCCTCCGCTGTCTGTCTGGTCTCGACCTGCACTGCGGGCTCCCACAGCAGGTGCCAGCTGGGCCAGGGCTGCCCCGTACAACCTTGCTTCCTTGCATTCCCTTCAGCGACGTTCGTCTGTTCATCCCTTAAAATCGTTCAAAATGCAGAACGTGCAAATGCTTTCTTATGCATACACAAGCAGACGTGTATACGTGTATGCACCTGGGGCGTGTGGGCTGCGGTGGAGGCACACTTTGTCCTGTGTTCATTGTCACTGATAGGGCTGGAGGGAGGCCGGGCTACTTGCATTTGTTTACACCTTTACAGTATGTTAATGGTTTCCTTCTTGAATGAAGTGGAGCTCAAAGTACAACTGTCATTGCTCTGTGTTCTTGGTGTCTTTGGCGTTGAAAAGGCCATGTACCTCTGCTTTTGGTGGGGCTCCTGGCCTGTCTGCTGCCTCCTAAGACTGGTGGGTGCAGCATATCACCACATACCAGACACTCACAGGAGAGAAAAATCAACAGGATTGAGAGGCCATATTGGGCTGCTGGCAAGTTTAATCTGCAGGCTGGGTGCCTGCTCTCCTGCGTGTCCGCACTGCCTAGTGTGGGCTGTCCCTCGAAGGGAAGTCTGTGTCCCTCTGAGTGCTGCAACTACTCTCCGGGTTTTGCCGTAGCGGTTTTACCTCTGCCTGTTGACTCCTCTACTTGTCTGTCATTTGAGTTGGGTGAGAATTATTTAGGATGTTGCAATTAGAGGTGGTGCGGGCTGGCTGGCTGCTATAAGGCATCTAACATTTGGCTAAGCTCACTCTTGTGTGCTAGGCCTGACACGGCCCTCTTGGTTCCTCTTGTGATGCCTGTATCTTTTACACAGTCAAAAAAACATCCTCAGATGATACAAGCTGGAGTGAACTATTTTTTTTCTTTTACCTTAAGCTCTGGGATACATGGGCTGAACGTGCAGGTTTGTTGCATAGGTATACATGTGCCATGGTGGTTTGCTGCACCCATCAACCCATCATTTAGGTTTTAAGCCCCACATGGATTAGGTATGTGCCCTAATGCTCTCCCTCCCCTTGTCCCCCACCTCCCGACAGGCCCCTGTGTATGATGTTCCCCTCCCTGTGTCCATATGTTCTCATTGTTCAACTCTCGCTTATGAGTGAGAACATGCAGTGTTTGGTTTTCTGTTCCTGCGTTAGTTTGCTGAGGATGATGGCTTCCAGCTTCATCCATGTGGGCTATTTTTTCATCATACTCGACCCTTCCCAGTTCACGGCTAGGGGGCCAAGGTGTGACAGGTGGAGCTGGACAAGTATGGATTAAACATTAATACAGCCACTATCACCACTGCCCAGAGGACCAAGTTCACAGAGCCAAGCTGCAGAGCTACCTAGTGTCCTCAGGCTGCAGAAGTGGTGACTGGCAGACATGGCTCAATTTGTCCAGGTCCTGGCTGAAATAGGTGACTTTGGTCGCTTCCAGATATGGCTATGGATCCTGCTGTGTGTTCCCAACTTCCTGAGTGCCTTCTACTTTTTTGCCCATGTCTTTATGGTCCTGGATGAGCCCCACCACTGTGCAGTGGCCTGGGTGAAGAACCAGACTTTCAACCTGAGTGCTGCTGAACAGCTGGCACTGAGCGTGCCCCTGGACACTGCAGGCCACCCGGATCCCTGCCTCATGTTCCGGCCACCCCCTGCCAATGCCAGCCTGCAGGACATCCTCAGCCACCGCTTCAATGCGACGCAGCCTTGTGATCTGGGCTGGGAATATCCTGAGGACAGGCTCCCCTCCCTAAAGAATGAGGTAGGGCTATCCTTTTGCCAGTCTCTCCACCTGTTGTGGGTCTGTCAGCTCCTGTGCGAGTCTTCGCCCTCAGTCACTGCCTATTTCTGTCTCCATATCTGCCCCTGTGCCCCTGTGGTCGACCATGGGCACCCATGTTTTTCTTTTTGTCAATCATTTTCCTCTTTGTCCCCTGCCTGTTGACCCATCTGTCTGTCATGATCTCCGTCCGCTCTGTCTGCCCATCCGTCCATTTCCGCCCATCCTTTTGTCTGTCCCTCTCTTTCCTTGTCTCTCTGGCTCTCTACCCAGTCGCTGTCCTCTCTGCTTCTCCCATCTTTACGCCCTTCTCTCTACCCCGTGTGCTCATCTGTCCAGCTCTCTCCTTCAGTCTGTCCCTGCATGTCTGCCTACGTCCCTTTTCCCCAGCCCTCTAATGCCATCCCTTTCCCTGTCCATTTGACTGACTTCCTGTTTGCTGGACTTGGGCTTCAAACCGTTCAGCTTTTCTCTCTAGGTCTCTGCCAGCCTGCCCTTGGGAAGCTGGAGAACAGTCTGGACTCTAGGATTGTCCTGTGGATAACTAAGCGTTCATTCTTGCTAACTGCATTCTGGTAGGAGAGACGCAGGAGGAAAGTTCCCACTCTGGCCGCCTCCAAGCATGCGGGGGCCTCTGAAAAGCATCCAGTCCCACTCCACTGCTTCCCAAATGGTGGGGCTGAGGCCCAGAATGAGGAGGTCACTAGGGCGAGGCAGTGAGTTGATCATGGAGCTGGGGCTCTCGTGCCAGACCCCTGCTGTCTAGATTCCCACAGGAGTGGGAGGCAGCACAGAGAGTCCAGAAACCTGAGGGGCGCGGGTGCTTGAGGGGATCTGCATAATTCCCATCTTCTTTCTGGCGGAAAATCTGGGATTAAACATTCACTTCCCTCGCCCCATCCCATGGCTGAAAAAGTATTTATTTTTAGAGGTTTTCAAAGACGAATATGTTAACCAAAGTCTAACTATTGATTTTTTATATGTGACCATAACACTGCTCCCAAAAGCCTGGCAGCCTGTGGATCTGTCCCGCTCCCGACTCTCCCTACCCTACCCCACCCGGAGCTCTGGGGGGACCTATGCAGCTCCCAGGCTCTGGGGCTGGCCAGCCTAGCCCCTTCTGACCCTTACCGGCCTCTCTGTTATCACCCCAGCCTCACAGCCATGGAGGTCCCAGCCTTCACCAGCCCAAACGTGGTGCGGTTTGTCTATATGTGTTAAACTGTCTGCCCACCTGGCCAAATATGATCATTCTCAAAGCCCAGAAAACCTTCCTGATTGCTCACAGCCTACCCTAGGCCTTGTTCACACCCCGTGCTGGGCTGTTCATGCAACTATATTCAGCCAAAGCCCCCTGAGGATTAACTGTGCAGGGAAGTCGGAGGAGAAAGGTACTTTGTTCCCCTTCAACAAGGAGGACCCCTAGTGGTCAGGAAAGGGCTGGGTGCGTTCTGAGGCCCAGAATTTGCTTCCTCCCGGTGGTGGCAGGGTGACGGTGGGAGTGGGCAGGCAGCTTTCTGAAGGAGGTGGTATGTGTGAACTGGGCACCAAGATACTAGAAAAATGTTGCTAGAGAAGAGGGGAAAGCCTTTGCAGGCAAACAATAGCACAGGAAAGGCCTGGCCCCAGGAAGCAGGCGGGATGTCTGGGAGCAGGGGATGTGCCTGCAGCGGGTCGGGGTGGACGGGCAGGGGTATAGAGATTAGATGGATGTTTTCAAGGGTTTGGGACCTCTCTTCTTTGTTTTTCGTTTGACACATCTGAAAAGAATTCAGACACAAAGACTTATCACGTGAGAAAGCACTGGTTAACACCAAGGTAAGAACGAGGATTTGTGGAGGGTATAAAAAGATTACCTTCACACTTTTAGCAACTGGGAACCACAACCAAAACACGCCGATAGCATCTCTGCCACTGAGGAGGAGCCTTCAGCAGACTCTCCGTGACATCCGTCAAACTAGAGAGCCTACACTGGCTGTTGGAAGGTTCCTCACACCAAAACAGAAACGGGAGTCCCCTGCCTGGCTCCCCGTCGTTAACTGTTCTCCCCACCCCTCTCCACCCCCGGATCCTCGATGAAGCAGACCTCCGTCACTTGAAAGATGGTGTTAGAATTCCACAGACATCTGTCCTGTAGATAGCATCGCCCTCACATTTCTTCTGCGTGCTGGGTCTTCAGCTGTGTTCTAGGAACACCATGTAACACACTCTTAAGCTGCACATTTATGCTAAGCATATGAGAGAATGACTGACAGGAAAGACTTTTTTTTTTTCCAGATTATGAACTCACACCATTTGATGTATTTCAAAAGGTGAGATACTTCACCTTTTGATCCACCCTCCTCGGCCTCCCAAAGTGCTGGGATTACAGGCGTGAGTCACGGCACCCAGCCTAATTTTTGATCCTTAGTTTGACTTAAACATTGTGTTTAGTGGGATGTGGACGCGAGCTGAGCTGAAAGGGCTCTGGCGAGACGTTCACAGCAGCACCCGCCCGAGGCTCTTCTCTGGTTCTGGAGGCTTGGTTAACTGCATTCTTCAGGCCCTCTCTGTGAGTGCAGAACGCTCCGCATCCTTCGCAGCCTTCCAGTCCGGGGCCAGCTTTTCGGAATTTGCTGGAGTGATAGGCTTCCGTTTGTTCTTGGCAAGTTCCTCAACAGCAGAGGGATTGTCTCTGAGATGACTCTGGGTCTCTACAAACAAGAAAGGGGTCTTTGGACGTGGTGAGCTGTCTCAGGCACTCACTCTTCTTTCACATTTTTGAATGAGAATGGAGATACCACTGCAAAACTGACTAGAAATCCACCTATTTGTGGATACTCAGTGGTTGTGATCTCTTACAACCCTCCTGCCCTGAAGCGTCAAAAAGTCCGAGTATATGGCTCTCTGCCAACCACAACTGTGACCACACAGTTGTCAGAAACGGTACATTTTCAGATGTGAATTTGTCTGTTGTGTAGGATATCCGTAGATATGTTTCACCAGTGGCATCATTGCTCACAACAGCAGACTTAATGGTCTGCATTGCTGAAACAGTTTTGTATTTACTTTAAATATTTCAGATCAGTGTTGACCTCAGCCTCTCCCTGGGGTGTGGCAGCACTCAGGACCTCTCTCCTACATGATGCTGGCATTGCGGTTGGACCTTGGGCCTCTTGCCCTACGATAACATGCTCTCCTCACTCCCACTCTTCCAAAGACTGTGACTCCCAGGGAAATGTACACTTCGTGCCCTGCACCACAGATAATCCCAAGCTCGGTTCGAGTGCAGCTGGCTTGGTGTGAGTTCTTCTATCTCTGCTTTTCATTTGTGAGGACGGGTTTTGCCCACCGACTCAGAGGACCCTCTCTGATCTGACATCCCAAGCTTCCTTATTGTAAATGGCAACTTCATATTTAAACTTAAATGCAAACAATACTAAATTGTAAAGAAAAAAAGTGTATTTCCTTATAGGCTATGTGCTCTTGAAGGTCAGAATATGTTTCTACTCTTCAACCTACATTTCTGGGCGTCCATCCTTGGTAAAAGAAAAAAAATGGGCTGGGTGCAGTAGCTCGTGCCTGTAATCCCAACACTTCGGGAGGCTGAGGCAAGAGGATCACTTGAGCTCACGAGTTTTGAGACCAACTTGGGCAATATAGTAAGACCTCATCTCTACAAAAAAATAAAGCAATCAACTGAACATGGTGGCACATGCCTACAGTCCCAGTGACTCCAGAGGCTGAAGTGGGACAATTGTTTGAGCTAGTGGTAAGCTGTATGTATGTCACTGCACTCCAGCCTGGGGAAACCCTTTTTCAAAAGAAAAAAGAAAAAAGTGACTCCCCTGTCTGCATAGACCTCTGAATGGGAGGTGGGAAGACCATCAGTGGATAGTAACAATCATGTGATCTGTCCTGGGACCAAAAAAGTAGGCATAGGAGGGAAGGGGAAGTGGAGAGAACAGCCATTTCTGGGGTCTGGAGGTGTGAAAATGCCTGGCATATTTAGGAATGCTGACACAGCAAAAGAGGCTGGGAGCTAGGCAGCAGCTAGCTCTTCAAGGGCCTTGGGCACGGTGCTAAGGAATTTGGGCTTTCTGCTAGAGATCAAAGGGAGCTATTGAAGGTTTTGGAACAGGGGAGGGATACAGGATGGGGGGTGCTCCAAGAAATGAGGGTGGGATTCCACAGACCGCCACGGCAAGCTGCAGACAGAACCCTACAGGGCTGGGGAGGATGACTGGCATCTCGAGTCGGTGCCCCTTCATCTCTAGCACCTGCAACAGGACAGCACCGTGAGCACGTGGGCACATCCCAGCACCTCTCCAGGCCTCCGTCTCTGCTGCTGCACTGTTGCTCTTCACTCGGGGTGGCTGGCAAAATAGTAAAAATATTCACTTTTAGGAAAAGTTGTAGATTAGTCTTAAACCTTTTGGAAGGCGGAAAGGTTGTATTGGGGCATGCCGATGGCAGCTGGCCCGTCCATCAAGTTAGGAAGAAAATGGGGACGAGGCTTTCCCAATTAAGTCTGTCCGTCCCCCACCCCTTTGTCTCCACTTTAACCATGGTTCTCTCCAGGGAAGATCAAAGGGGAATTACCTGTTGATAGCATTTACTCTGGGCCAGGAACCTAAAGCTTTATCTTTCATATAACCACTCTTAACCATGTTACTTATCCACAAGTGTGTGAAGTTAGGACCTCTGTTGTCAAGTCTTAAGGGAATAAATGTGTGGACAGACAGAGGGCCTGGATTGACTGGTTGCATTTCGCCCTCTGACAGTGGCCGACAGCCATCCCTAGCCCACTTGGAACACTGATGGTGTGAGAGTGCATTGGTGCAACCGCCGTTGAGTCAGGGTCAGCAGGTCAGACTTCTGCAGGTGGTGAGACCAGACCCACGTCGTAGGTGGTGACCCCGGTGTGACTGAGGGCACACTGTACAAAGGGAATGATAAGCCATCATAGTGTTAGAATGAGGATTTAATGTCACAAGGGGTGCATAAACTGAAGAGAGGTAGTGAATGCTGGCTATTGACCAGGGGTGCCAGCTGAGAAGACTCCCTGGCTTGGCACTCATGCCCGCAGAGCACTTCACCCCCTTGTGTCTGAGCTGTCTGCCACCAGCCGAGCGCTTTGTGAGCACAGAAGCCACCTAGATACCAGATGCTGAGAGCTTCCTGCGACACAGGCACTGGGCTGACCGTGTCACAGGTGTTAGTTCCTTTCGTTCTCTCTGGTGACACTATGTAGTATATTTAATTCACATTTTGTAAGTGGGAAACCAAGACACAGACAAGTGGGCCGACAGGCTCGAGGTCACACAAAGCCACTCAATTCCGACTCCGGAGCCTGACAACAGCGGGCCTCGGTCATTCATATTTTAAATGCCACCTTACTACAAAGGCAATCTGTGGCTGCTAGACAAAAACCAAAAGGGTAGAACTGGCTGGAGCCACCATGTCAAGTCCCCTGTCCTTCCCCACTTCATTCCCAGGGGCAGTCAGTTCATCACTTGATGCTGGTGGAAAGTTCTTGAACATCAACAGTTGTTACTGAGAGCAGAAGTGTGAGCACAGTGGTAACGCCTGGACTGGTTAATTTCTTGCTAAAAGTTATTTAACTGATGGTGACTGGTTAGTTAGCTAGCTGTAGGCATTAGTTTATTCTTTCATTTATCCATTCATTCAGCAGATATCCTCTTAGCCTTCACTCAGATTCATTCCCTGTCTAGGGCAAGAGAGATGTGTCAGCTCCACCAGGTGCCATCCAGCCGTGGGACCTGGGGTTAGCTGCTTACCCTTTCCTTTCTCAGGAAGAGGATACTAAGTGAAGGATTATTATGAGAATTCTGTGAGTTCATGCATGTAAAGTGTTTAGCAAGCACCCAGCACAGGGTGAGCACGAAGTGGTTGCTGCTGGGAAGCCGGAGGAGAGCACGCGTGGTGGTTCTCTAAAAACATTTGTGTGTGGAGCTGAGCTGTGTGCAGGGGGCATGAGGAGCTCCCTGAGGGGCCCACAACCCAGCGGGATGGGGGTCAGTCAAGTGAGTCTGGTGCACGTGCAGCAGACATGTGTATGGAGGGGTATGGACCCAATTATCTTCTCTTGGTTTCTCAGGCTGTGGGACTCTCTCTATAGGTCTGGGGTGGATTAGCATCCTCTGTGTCTCTCTGTCTCACACCTGCATGTTCTCTCCCTCTCTCCCTCTCTCCCTCTCTCCCTCTCTCCCTCCGTGTGTGTGTGTGTGTGTGTGTGTGTGTGTGTGTGTGTGTGTTCCTCTGTCCTAATCGCCTTCCTCAAGGCATGTGTGATGGCTCCTTAGGGTTCTGATTGCCTGCGAATGGTGGGCACCTCAGGGGGATTTTGCGATCAGGCAGGAAAACGCAGAGAGGCCCAAGTGTGTCCTGGGGTGCCCTGGCTGTGGGGAAGCAGACCCATTTGTTAGGAAGCAGCCATTAATGGTCTGTCACAGGTTCCCACAATTTGCATCTTTAGTGTGTCCATAATTTTTTTTTTTTTTTTTTTGAGACGGAGTTTCGCTCTTGTTACCCAGGCTGGAGTGCAATGGCGCGATCTCGGCTCACCGCAACCTCCGCCTCCTGGGTTCAAGCAATTCTCCTGCCTCAGCCTCCTGAGTAGCTGGGATTACAGGCACGCGCCACCATGCTCAGCTAATTTTTTGTATTTTTAGTAGAGACGGGGTTTCACCATGATGACCAGGATGGTCTCGATCTCTCGACCTCGTGATCCACCCGCCTCGGCCTCCCAAAGTGCTGGGATTACAGGCTTGAGCCACCGCGCCCGGCCAGTGTGTCCATAATTTTACACAGCATCTCCAGGCCGAAAGAAATGCCTAACGGCTCCATGCATTAAGTCATTAAGTTCAATTGGCATGCACTTACGTCCTAACGACTTAGTAGATATTTTTTGGAATATATGCATAAGTTGACAGAAAAAAATATTTTAATTTTACTCTTAAATATAATTACTTACTAATAGGATGTATGCACCTATTGGGCATTGTATAACTCGCGGTCCTTAAATACTGCCACCCTCACTTTCTCTTCCACTTCGATTTTCATGCGGTATTTCCTTTTTTTTCTTTTTTAATAGCAACTGCCAAAAACGATTTCCTATAGATCTGATGTCAGATTTCACATAGATATGATGTCACTGGAAGGAGAGTAGCGTGGTCACATGTTGAAAGCGTGAACTATCCTGAGCTAGTAGTTTGTGTCATGTCAGAGAGATGTCAACTTACATTTCCCTTTAGAGCCGGAAATGCCCGGCCGCACTGAGGAGTTCCCTGCGGTGCCCTGGAGCGCCTGGGCACGCAGTTCGACAGCCATGAGCTCCTGCCCTGAAGGGTTTGTAGTGGGCCGGGTGGTGAAGAGCTTGCCCTGGTGTGGCCCCTGGCCTCACATCTGCGTCCCCCTCAGTTCGACCTGGTTTGTGATCGGAAGCACCTGAAGGACACCTCGCAGTCAGCGTTCATGGCCGGGCTCCTTGCTGGCAGCCTCATGTTTGGGCCCCTCTGCGACCGGTAAGAACCCCCTGCCCGCTCCAGCCTAGCAGGCTTGTCAGCTCTGGCACGGGCCCCAGGCCCCTTGTGCCCCTCACACTGGCCTTTAGGGCAAGGCCTTCGTCCCCCGACCCTCACATGGGGCTCTGGGAAGGGTCATGTCTCCTCCCTCAGACAGAGACCCCGGGAGAGGGCTGGCCCCGTGCGGCCTTCCCCTCAGATGCCTTCTGCGAGGGACCCTCCCGCGGACCTGCCTCGTTTTCTCAGGATCGGCCGCAAGGCCACCATCCTGGCGCAGCTTCTCCTCTTCTCTGCCGTCGGCCTGGCCACCGCCTTTGTGCCCAGCTTCGAGCTCTACATAGCCCTGCGCTTCGCTGTGGCCACCGCCGTCGCCGGGTTTACCTTCAGCAATGTCACCCTGCGTGAGTGTCTGGGACCTCGGCCATCAGCCACAGGGCGAGGCCCAGGGCCGGGGAGGGCCGCGGTCCCAAACTGCCTGTGGAGGTCTTGTCGGGCACCCCACACCCGAAACGGTCACACCAGAGCTTCCTGCGTTGGCCCCGAGGCCCGGCCCCGACCAGGTGGCACCTGGTAGGAACGGGGAGTGAATGGCAGGGACTAGCCCCTCCCCAACCTCCCTGTTCCCGCAGTGACAGAGTGGGTGGGGCCCTCGTGGACAACGAAGGCCGTGGTCCTGTCCCACTGCAGCTTCTCCTTCGGGCAGATGGCGCTCGCGGGACTCGCCTACTATCTCCGCAGCTGGAGACTCCTCCAGATGGCCGGCACCGCGCCTGGCTTCCTGCTCTTCTTCTACTTCTGGTGAGGAAAATACGTGCCAGGAGCAGCCCCTGGGTTAGCTGTGCTATGGGGGTTTGGAGTGCAGCACCCACGTTCATGGGACAGTCAGGGCTAGCCTGGGAGAGAGAGGGAGCCTGTCACAGCTGGGTGTGGTATTCACTTTGCACTGGAACAAGCCAGAAAGCCCCCTAGGACTCCAGGCCCCAAGGTCATAGCTGTTCCTGACCCACAGGGTTCTGCCAGAGTCTGCACGGTGGCTCCTGACCCAGGGGAGGATGGATGAGGCGAAACAGCTGATCCGGAAGGCAGCCTCGGTCAACAGGCGGAAACTCTCCCCAGAGCTCCTGAGCCAGGTACTCCCGCAGGCCCAGGCAGGCGGGCATCAGACCCGCACAGACCTTCCTGCCTGGCTCTCACTCTGCTTCTTCCTCGCAGCTGGTCCCAGAGAGGACAGGCCCCTCAGGGAATGTCCTGGATCTGTTCAGACACCCCCAGCTCCGGAAGGTGACGCTGATTCTCTTCTGTGTCTGGTGAGTGCCCAGGGCCCGGGCCCCTGCCCGAGGACACAGCCACAGGACTGCAGCCTCCCTGGTGTGTGTCAGCAGAGGGGTGGCCTGTGGCTGGCTGGCTGGGATTGTCTCACCTTGGCTGTGCCAGTGTCCCGCGCTGTGACTGCTGACCTAGGCAGGCTCTCCCTGTGGGTGGCGTCTCCTCACCCAGCAAAGACAGGAATGCTTCATCACCTTGTAGGTTTGTGGACAGTGTGGGGTACTTCGGGCTGAGCCTCCAGGTGGGGGACTTCGGCCTGGACATCTACCTGACGCAGCTCATCTTTGGAGCTGTTGAGGTGCCTGCTCGTGCTTCCAGCATCCTCATGATGGAAAAGTTTGGCCGCAAGTGGAGCCAGCTGGGGACCTTGGTCTTGGGTGGCCTTATGTGTATCATCATCATCTTCATCCCAGCAGGTACCAGGGCTGGCTGTCCCTACCCCCATGCCCCCTCACCCACCAGCTGCCAGGGCTAGACCAGTGGCCACTGTTCCGCTTCCAGGAGTGAAGGCTTCCCTGGGGTTTGGGTACGAAAGGGGTGGGGAGTTTCAGTGGATGGGGCCGGGGGCAGGGCCCAGGTGACGAGGCTGTCTGCCGTCTGCCAGATCTGCCCGTGGTGGTCACCGTGCTGGCTGTGGTGGGGAAGATGGCCACATCGGCCGCCTTTACCGTCTCCTACGTGTACTCTGCTGAGCTCTTCCCCACCGTCCTCCGGTAAGAGCTGCAGCGTGACTCCCGCTCCTCTGCTGCTGCAACGCTGATCTGGCCGTCCCTCCTCGGCCCTCACCCTGTTCCACAAATAGCTGATAGGGCTAGCTCTGGGGCAGCAGTGCTGGGCGGGGTCCAGGGCGACTGGAAATCTAGCCCAAGCCCTCAGGTTGTCCCCAGGATGGTGGAGGACAGATGTGCTAGTAGGCTACGGCCCTGGCGGCTGGGATGGGAATGTGGGACCCGGCTAAGAATGAATGGCCCCGGAGAAGGAACACTCAGGGTGGGAGGGTGGTCAAGACGTGCAGCCTCAGACTGGAGACTAGACAGGCCAGCAGGGGTGTAGCAGGCAGGGAACAGGGGTGGGGGTGGGAGCAGACAGCAGGAGCGCTGGACAGGCTGGGTGAGGCTGGAGACCCTGCCGACTGTTGGGGTCTGGGCTGTCCTGAGGAAATAGGCTGGGGTGAAGCTGAGGCCCAGAGTTGGGCCCAGATCTACTCAGCTTGCCCTGGCTTTCCCCCAGGCAGACAGGCATGGGGCTGGTAGGCATCTTCTCTCGGCTTGGGGGCATCGCCACACCACTGGTGATCCTGCTGGGAGGGTACTATGCTGCCCTCCCCATGCTCATCTACGGCAGCCTCCCCATCGTGGCCGGCCTGCTCTGTGCCCTGCTGTCAGAGACGCGTGGCCAGGCCCTGAAAGACACCATCCAGGACCTGGACCAGGAGCCCCACCCACGGTGAGCTGCTTGCTTGCTCTGAAACCACGACCTGGGTCTCACACTGGCCACGCACTCTGCATGCCCAGGCCTCCACCTCATCCCTAGACCACTGTTGCCTAGAGTCAAATACAGGGTCCTCCAGGACCACAGACATCTGGCTGGCTTTGGTTCAGATTCCCCTTACTCTGAGGAAGGGGGTGGTGAGGGACACTGTCATGGGACCAATTCCTGGGCAGCCAGTGACAGCCTTCTGCCCCTCTAGGTCCCCCAGATCAGCGCCCTCAGAGAAGGAAACGGAAGCCACAGGAAGAACTTCTAGCCTGGGAGCGGCCTTAGTGAGCAGCACATACTTCTGACTGAGGTCTCTAGGAGCTGGACCATCAGCAGCAGGGAGCTGCCTAAACACCCCCCTTGGATATGGCCAGGACCCATGGCGACACAGCGCAAGACCAGCCTTGCTATGGAGGCAGTACACCACAACCCGGCCCATGACTGTCACCTGCCGCCGAGCCCAGTCCCAGAAGTGCCTGGGACAGGACCTCCCGGCCTCCTTCCCCTTTCTCCTCTCCAGAGCTCCGCCCCCGATACCCTTCTGGGAAGGATCTTGGGTTTTGCTTGTCCTCCCACGGTCTTCACAGGGCAGGGCTCTCTTGATCTCCTCAATCTGGCGTCCCCTGCCCTCAAAACACAGTAAAGCTCAGAGCAGAACACATGGTAAGGCCTTTTCAAGTTGTGGGAACAGGAGGCGAGAGAAAACAAATGTGAAGCTGTGGACTCCACCCAGGCAGGTGGGTGAAGAGGCTGTGGATAGAGGGAAGGTTGTGGCTCCTTCTACAGATGGACCAGATCCCTCTGGCTAAGGTGTGGCCCCATAGGTCACTGGCTCCCAGAGAGAGAAGATTCAGTTCAGCCGAAATGAAAACTTCCACCTTGCGTTTTCTTCAAAGATCCCCCAACCCCCACCCTACAGTCAGCTCATGCCCAACCTATGAGAGGCTCGGGGACCAGGGTGGGGAGGGAGAGGAGGTTTGCTCTGCTCCCCTGTTCCCCCGCCTCCTCCTGCTCGTGCTCAGCTGCTTCTGGGCCTTCCAGGGTCCATGCAGGGTAAGGGAAAGGCCAGAGGTCCTTTCACCCAGCTGCTGCTGGCCACAGCTCTTTGGGGCACCCATTGGCTAATGCCAGTTGGTGCGCTTTGCCAGGCTTCTGAAAGCTGCCTTTCCAGGGGGCATCTTCATGGGCTTCTCAGGGACCATCCCAGGCCTTGGTGGTGTTCCTCAGAATGAGCAGTCTGCTCCCAATGCATTCCAGCTTCCCTCAGGACCCCTCTCCAGCCCCAGCCAGCATCGCTCCCACAGCCTCTCCTACAGCTGGCAGCCCCTGACCTTAGAAGATGGCCTTCTTGGCCGGGTGTAGTGGCTCACACCTGTAATCCCAGCACTTTGGGCGGCTGAGGTGGGCGGATCACCTGAGGTCAGGAGTTTGAGACCAGCCTGGCCAGCAAAATGGAACTCCATCTCTACAAAAAATACAAAAATTAGCCCAATGTGGTGGTGAATGCCTGTAATCCCAGCTACTCGGGAGGCTGAGGCAGAGAATTGCTTGAACCTCAGAGGCGGAGGTTGCAGTGAGCCAAGATCGTGCCACTGCACTCCAGCCTGGGTGATGGAATAAGACTCTGTCTTAAAAAAAAAAAAAAAAAAAAAAAAAAAAAAAAAAAAAAAAAAGATGGCCTTCTTGGACGGGTGCCCATCAAGAGACCTCGAGCCACGCTGCCTTTCTCAGCACCTCCTTGGCCCACAAGAACACCGTATATCATTGTGTCACCAAATGGTAGAAAAAGACCTTGCCTGGCCACCCCTGCCCCCGCCTTGCCCCAGCGAATTTCCCACCAGGCGGAAGGTTCCAGTCTGTCTTCTCACAGCTCCCCAGACCCCCATGCTTGCTCACCTTCTCCTACATGGCTGGGTCAGGACCTGGGGTAGGTGCCGGACCAGTTTCCTGTACACCCAGCATGGAAGCGCCCAGCACCTCCCTTCCAAACACATGGATATTCCTCACTCACGGTTCTCAGCCTTGAAGTGCTGACAAAAGCTTTATTTAGCTTCCTACTGTGTGCCCACCCTGGAGTCCTCTTGGGGACACTCGCATGTCTTTCTGGGTGCAATGTGCCACCCAGGCTGAAACTGCCAAGGTGTGGAGAAGACTGGATAGAAGTGGGGAAAGGGCCATTTCCCAGCTAAAGGCAGTTTCCTCCTCTAAGATGTGGACACTTGCTCCCTTTAAGACGGAATGATTGTCATTTCCAGGAAGAGACCTGAACGGCCATGACTGGCTAATTTGTGTAATTTTAGTAGAGACAGGGTTTCACCATGTTGGCTAAGCTGGTCTCAAATTCCTGACCTCAGGTGATCTGCCCAGCTTGACCTCTCAAGGTCCTGGGATTACTGGCATAAGCCTCTGCGCCCGGACCCTGGAGACTTTGTCTTTTCTTTCTGAGGGGATCATGGTTAGTTGGGGAGAAAGATTTTTGTTCTGATGAATGAGTAAATGCCCTTTAGCAGTGACTGATGGGAGGTTGGCTGCTGAGGCCTCTGGGTCCCCAAAGGAGAAGGTATGCAGCCTGATCGTGACTCTACTCTGAGAAGCACAACAGAAAAGGGGCCTTACTGGGCCAGGCAGTGGCCAGCACATACTGAACCACTGTCCCCAGAGGGTGTTACAGAACACAGAACAGCCTGGATCTGAGGGACATGCCAGCAGTGAACCCATTACTCAGTGCTATGGCTAGCTTTGTGGGGGCTGGTGGAAGACTCAGATCTCAGGTCTTGGGGACAGGACCCTCCTACTCTGGGCCTCAGCCTTCCTACGTTAGAATGTCCAGTGTCTAAGATGGCCCCACACTCCCCCTGCCAACTGCTGGTCTGCACTGACACGGTCCCCACTGACTCCAGCCACACTGACCTGTCTGCCACCTCACCCACTTCCATGACGCTACCCTATGTCACTGGAACGGTGGCTCCATCTCTGGCAGGGGCGTCCATGTCCTCAGGGCTGCTTGTAAGGTGTTCTGCCTCCTGCCTCTTCCTGTCTCATGCAGGAGGGAGGTGACCATGACAGCTTCTCAGCCACTACCCCTCCTACTTGTGACGCCTCCTCTCATGGAAACCTGTCTCTCTTCCTGGCTCCCACCTCTCACTGCCTCATCCATCCAGAACTCCGCTACCAGACTCAAGGTTGTCCCTTCCACTCCAGCCCTGCCATCAGCTTGGGGAAGTCCATCTCCACCTCCAAAATCTCAGGACGTTCTGGCATATGAGTGCATAGCTGAAGGACTCTCCGACTGACTTCTCATGCTCTGAGCCCAGCACGCTAGCCTTCTGGCTCGTTTGCTGGTATTCCTGTCTGTCTGAGTCAGCTCAGGCCCCCACAATGAATTACCACTGACTTCGTGGCTGAAAAACAGAAATTAATTTCACAATTCTGGAAGCTGGAAGTCCAAGATCAGGTGCCAGCACGGTCAGGCTCTGGTGGGGGCCTTCTCCCCTGTCCCGGGCTCCAGATGTCCTGGTCTCTCTGGGCCTCCCAGGACCTTTAGTTAGTGCACACACATGGAGAAAGAAAGAATTTCTCTCTGCTGGACCGGAACTCCTGGGCCCTGCCTTAGCCTCCTGAGTAGCTGGGACTTCAGGCGTGCATCACCGCATCTGACATCTCATCCTCTGTTTATGAGGCCACCAATTCCACCCTTTGGGTCCCACCCTTGTGACCTAACGCAGTCTTACCTCTCATGGCCCCACTGCCAAATACCATCACATTGAGGGGCGGGGCCTTAATAGGTACATTTGGGAGGGACACGAACATTCTTTCTATAATACCATCCTTAGCCTCACTGGGCCCTGTGGTCTGTTGACCCTTTTACTTTCTCCTCACCTCCCACAGTCCTCTCTACTCTGATTAGAGGAAGCAAGCCATCATTTTCACTTCCACTGAGAGATGGAAATTATTTCTGTCTCTGTTGCCAATGGTCGACACTTTGATCCTTTTACCATTTGGTTGTACCCGAGTAGCAAAACCGCAGCAGGTGAGCCCAGTCACCTGCCTTTTCCTTCCCTGCATCCCAGACTGCTGGCCATTGCTACAGGGAGTCACACCCTGGACAGGTCGGTTCCTCTCTGAACCAGTGCTCCCACCAGCTTTTCCTAGCCCACTTGTGTCCAGCCCTCCCCCACGGCTACCTCTACCTTCCACTCTGCACGCCTCCCTCCTCCCACCTTCTAGCAGAGTGCTAGAAACCGGAGAAGCCATCCTGCGGCAGCTCCCCAAACTTCCACCACCAAATCTTTAACCTACTCCGTCACCTGCCCTTCTGCTGCACGGAGATGTCAGTGAAGCGGCTGATGGTGAGGCCGTGAACTCTACCGCCCCACACGTTCTGGGAGCTGCTGAAGGTTGGGCCTTTTCCTCCTTCGCCTCTCTTCTCCATTCTCTCCGCCTTAGGCAAGGAGACCAGGGTCAGGCCGTTGGTGGGGAGCCTCTGAATTGAATTTGCCTTTGCCTCTAAGTTGCTTTGGAGATGAAAGACTGTCACTCCTTCTGGGGTTTTCCTGCTCCCAGAGGCCTTCAGATGAAACAGGATTGGTGTCATCCATGGATGGTCCATGCCATTCTTCTGCAGAGGTGTTGGGGTCTGAGCTAGGACAGGCCTTGACAGTAATCAGTCTGGAAACCAGGAAGAACCCAGTTTCCCAGTGCCTGGCGTCTCCCTGGGGCTGGCCCTTGCTCTGTGGGGTATCGGCGGCTTCATGGGACCCTGGCTGCGCACCTCCTTACGTTTGCTCCGCAGAGGTCAGGGCAATGGTGACTCTCAGTCCCAAGCACTTAGCCCAGGTGTGTGAAAGTGAAACCGTGGCTCAAACAGTTAAAGACACCAATGACTAACAGAAATTCCTGAGTTTGCAGGATGGCAGATAAGAAAAGAAACAACTTGCTGAGATGCTGAAACTTCCTTCACTTGTAAGACAACAAAACTGGCTAAAATAAGTTGGCACCAATGTGGCCCGCTAGAGCCTGTGCAGAGCCTGCCTGCTGACGTCACAGCCTGAATTCCTCTGAATTCCTCTCCGCCCCCCCACCCCGTACCTGCACGTGTGACCCATGAGGTGTCAGGAAGAGAACCGCGCATGCCCAAGGACTTTCCAGACCTCCTCTTTCCGTCCACCAGTCACCTGCTAATCTCAGACTCCCGACACCTTTTCTAATAAAAATACTGCCTTAGCACCAGCCCAGGGAGACACAGTCAGGCTGGACTCTTGTCTCCATGTCGGTCGGCGTATAATTAAAAACATTTATTTTCTCAAAAACCTGGTGTCATAATATTGGCTTCCAGCACATCAAACAGCGAGCCCCTTTTGCCTAGAAACAACTTGGTCCTCATATTTACTAGTTTTCTCAACCTGTAGCCAGGGGAAACAAAACCGACCTCCGACATTTTTAACAAAGGCAATCAATATTTGTAGCTGGTACAAATATTTGTTCTGTAAACTCACATCTGCAAGAAACACCATGTTTCTTTAGACTATGAGCTGGTTGGAAATTCTTCCCAGCTGTTCTTGGGGCTCTTCTCTACCCAGAGATTGGGCCAGAGAGTTCTGGGGTCTTTTTCTTTCTTTCTTTCTTTCTTTCTTTCTTTCTTTCTTTCTTTCTTTCTTTCTTTCTTTCTTTCTTTCTTTTTTTTTTTTTAAAGATGGAGTCTCTTTCGCCCAGGCTGGAGTGCATT